CTTTTTTTATACATATGTCTTAGTCCATTTTGTCCTACTACAACAAAATTCTTGAGACTGAGGAATACAGAACAGAGATGTATTTTCTCACAGTTCTGGAGGCTAGAAAGTACAAGAGATCAAGGAGCCAGCAGGCTTAACTGCATGCAGAGGAGCCAATCTCTGCTTCCAAGAAGGCGCTTTGAGGCTGTATCCTCCATAAAGGAAGAACTCTATGTCTGCACATGGAAGGACCAAAGGGCTGGATGCTTCTTTATGAAAACCTTAGTCTCATTCCCAAGAGCAACAGCCCTGGTGGCCCAATCATCACTTGAAGACCCATCCTCCCTCTTAATACTACCACATTAGCAACTTCAGAATTCTGTAGAGGATATCTCCAAACCATAGCAATGCACAATTTTTTAAAAATACCATTTGCTAGTAGAAAATAAATACCTTATGTACATTTGCCCTGCTCCATGCCTCCCACCTCCCCTGAATGGCTGCTCAATAGTACTTCCCACTGTCATTGCCATCAGGTCCCATGAGTGGGCACCTATTCATTTATACCTATTTTGCCCCCAATTTTTTTCTTTCTTGTTTCTTTCATCTATAGCCTCAGTGGTAAATTTGCCCTTCACCAGTCTAGAGAGAGAGAGAGAGAGAGAGAGAGAGAGAGAGAGAGAAGAGAGAGGGAAGGAAGAGAGAAAGAGAATAGAGAAATATTTATACATTTTATACCCATTAAGAAATCAGACCCTGTACCAACTAAATAAAAAAGATTTAAAAAGGAAAAAAAAAAAAAAGAAATCAGGGGGCTGGCAAGATAACTCAACAAACTAAAGCTCCTGCTTAGGCAAGTTTAGGTAAGCGCAGGGACTGCAGTTCAATCCCCGACACCACATGCCACTCCAGCCCTGCCCCCAGGATGGGCTGAGGCAGCCTGAGAATAGGAACTCAAGTTTATGTACAGAGATGTACACTGGCTCATCGTTCCCTGGGCATGTCTTCTAGCACAGGGATCCAAGACTGTAGTTCTAAAACACAAAAAACACCCCTAAAAAAATTGTGAACCTTAGGCCGGGGAGATAGCTCCGTAGAATAAGTGCTTGCCTGGCAAGCGCAAGGTCCTGAGTTCAATTCCCCGTCCCACAAAAAAATAAAAAATAAAATTGTGAACCTTTAAAAAAAAAAAAAGGTGTGCTCCAGTGGGTGGCCTGGTGCACACTTGTAATCACAACACTGTGGCAGGCTGAGGCAGGAGAATATCAAGCTCAAGGTTGCTGTGACCAGTTTTGCAACTTTAGCAAGACTCTGTCTCAAAATAAATTTAGACAGGGCTGGGGATGTAGCTCAGTGTGAAGCTTCTGGATTTCATCCCCAGTACCAACACACACACAGACACACACATTTTGTGGCACACAACTGGAAAACTTCAACTGTTCTATTGCTGTAAAAGGCAATTACTAAACCAGGCATGTGGTGCCTATCTGTAATCCCAGCACTTGGTAGGCGGAGGTAGGAGGACAGCTCTCTCACCCCTCTTGGGTGCTAGGAATGGTCTGGAAACAAGCATGGACTTAAAGGCAATTGATTTGGGGATTATCAATTTTTAAAAATAGTATTGACTCCTTATGTACAATGTCTGAGAGTCATGTTTACTTAGGCATGGCTTTGTGCTCTCCTCTGGCTATGTGGGACAAGAACTCAACCCATGTAGGTCTTGGCTTCAGCATCCATTCATGTTCTACCTTCAGAAGGGTGATGGAAGCTGTGGCAGCTCATATGAATGGTGAAAATCATGTCATCCAGGAAAGGCGTGGCAATGGTCACACCAAAACACATCCACCACCTCCTGTCTTTATCACCTTGTCAGCATCTCTCAGGTAAAGGGAAGAGGGTGTGAGGAGTTGGGGAAGTCTCCTTTAGGAGTGGCAGGACCACATGATTTGGCTAATGGAGGTGATTCTGGTGTTAACCAGGTTCCATGGAATTGTGGCCACTGTTGGGGGAAAGACATCATTTAGAAGGCAGGCTCTTCTCGGCAGATGGATGCTGTCCTTGTCCAGCTCCTGGGGGGCACCATTTGGGATCTCAGCCCAGGTGATAGCTTTGGGGTATGAGCTGCTGGTATGTGGAGCCCTCTCAGAGGGTGGTGGGCTTCAGCACTGAGAGGGCTCATAGCATTATTGATGGCTCGGGTCATCATTTAGGTCTTTTATCTTACTCTTCCTTCTCCATACAGCTGGAGCTATAGTTGATGTCAAAGCAGGGGCACTTCTCAGCAATGAATTTCTGAAGCACTGGGCTTTTTTGTTTCACCATATTGCTTGCTGATCTATCCAGAACCAGAGCTCCTTCATGGCTCATCTCTGCTTTGATGCGTCTTCTCTTGCATTTGCAGCAAGCTCTAGGTCAGAGCTCTGAAGAATTGTGCAGCAGCTCCCCTTGTGCTCCTGAAGGGAACTTCTCTGCTTTTAACTCCTGCAAAATGCACTGTTGTAGGTTTCTCCGCAGAATGATTCCTATGGTGCCCTGTGGACACATCTCTCCCCTAGCATGCATAGCTACAGAGGTGACTCTTAAAAAGTTTTTCCTCTTTGTGTGTG